CCGCCAACGTCATTTGGAGCCAAATGTATGCACGGGCGAGTTCTTCCAATCCACCACCACCACCACCACCATCGCTACTCTCAAGATGTCGCGAAGTTTTACGATCCGCGTGCCGTGCACGTCGTCCAACATCGGGCCTGGGTTCGATGTGGTCGGACTGTCGCTTTCGCTCTACCTTACGCTTTCGGTCAGCGTCTCGTCGGCCACCAACGCAGCGCCTACGCTGGCGTATACGGGACTCGGGGCGGAAGAAGCGCCGCTGGATCCGTACCAGAACCTGACCACACGCACGGCGCTGTACGTGTTGCGTTCCAACGGCATCTCTGGCTTCCCCGCGGGCGTGGAGATCAAGGTGCACAATGAAGTGCCCTTTGGCCGCGGGTTGGGATCGTCCGGTGCAGCGGTGGTAGCAGGTCTGTTGCTCGGTAACGAGCTGGGTCAGTTGGGGCTTAGCAAGGATCGACTGCTCGACCACGCACTCATGATCGAGAGGCATCCGGACAACGTCACTGCCGCTTTGATTGGCGGATTTGTGGGGTCGTATTTGCTGGATCTATCGCCCGAAGAAGAGGAGAGGAGGGACGTTCCGCTGTCCGAGGTGATTCCAGAGTACCCAAGCGATGCGTCGGTAGAGTGGGGTAAGAACCCGCCACAGCCTCCACACGGCATCGGACACTATATCCGCTTCGACTGGGCCAAGGAGATCAAAGTCATTGCGATCATCCCGGACTTTCAGGTCAGCACGGCAAAGGCACGCGCCGTGTTGCCCACTACGTACTCCAAGGCGGATATGATCTTTAACCTCCAAAGGCTGGCAGTGCTTACAACCGCGCTTACGAGGTCGCCGCCCGATGCGGAGCTGATCTATCAGGCCATGCAGGATCGAGTGCACCAACCCTACCGCAAACACTTGATTCCCGGCTTGCCAGATGTACTGGCGAGTGTGACGCCCAAGACGCACCCCGGATTGTTGGGCATCTGTCTGTCCGGTGCGGGCCCGACGATTTTGGCGCTTGCGACGGAGAACGAGGAAAGGATTGCAGAGGAGATTGTGGAGACGTTCAGGAAGAACGGGATCGAAAAGTGCGATGCCAAGTTCCTCAGTGTCACCACCGACGGCGCCCAGGTCCTCCCCTAAAACCCCCCCTAGCTCAGAAGCAATCCAGGTAGAAAGCAGAGTGTGTGTGTGTGGTTACGACGAGAGCAGACGCGCAAGGACGCGCTGGAAACTGTGTACATCGTCGTCGGTCGCAGTGGCGAGCGTATCAGCAACTTCGTAGATGTACACCACGCCCTCGGCGCCAGCAGTGGCAAGGTTTCGACCGGTGCGCGACCACGCGAGTCGGTTCAGTGCGCGCTTGCCCGGGGTGGCACTGGCAACCGGTCGCTCGACATCGGTGTTGAGGTCAAACACATCCAGTTTGCCCGCACCATCGACGTGCGCAAAGACGCAAGGATGCGTGGGCGACCAGCGCACATCGTACACGTAGTCGTTCGACTCTTCGAAGCTCCGAATAGGCACGCCACCAGTAGGCGTCTGACGCCACAGCCGCGCGGTCCAGTCCATGGAGGCGGTGAGGAAGAGGTCGGAAAAGTCCACGGCGCCCGTGAGCGGGTGGCAGTGGATCGACGTCACCGGTGCCGCGTGCGCCCGGTACACCTCGGCCGCATTCAACCCCGCCTTGAGTCCTGCCCGGTCGTACCGATTCCCCGCATAGATCGCGCCGTCTTCAGAACCCACCAGGAACGACGTCGTGTCCTGCTCGCCCAGCCCGAGTGCGGTGACGGCAACTTCGTCGGTTTTGGCGTGTGCGGTGTTGACCAGCTCGAGCGTTTCCTGTGGGCGCGCGAGCATGTCGAGCATCCACCAGCAGACCGTGCCGTCGGTAGACGCCGAGACGAGGTGGTGCGCGTTGGCGCTGCCGATGATGCGCAGCCCATACACGGGGTGCGTGTGCCCCGCGGCCGAGAGAGGCGTCTTGAGCACGGGCAGCGAGCGTGCCCGCGTGTCCCACACGAGGATCTGGCCGCTGTACGTCCCGCCAACGACGAGCGTGGCGTGAAACGGCGAGAAGCATACACTGAGCACATCGGTCTGTGCGTGAAAGACAAACTCGGGCCGGTCGGCAAGGTGCATGTTCCACACGGCCACGAGTCCGTCGGGCGACTCTTCGTGCTCGGTGCGGCTGTACGCGACCGCACACAGCTCGGGGAACTTGGCGCTCCAGTCGATCGCCGTGATACTTCGCCCTGCGAACATCTTATCCGCCGCGCCGAACGTGCGGACGAGACGCAGCTGCGAGCCGGCGGTGCTGTCGAGCAGGTCGTCGTCGGCAAGGCGGTAGTCGCGCAGCACGTCGTACGTGTCGGTGAGGGCGCGCTCGACGATCTTGGTGGAGCGCTCGACGAACTCGCCAAAGTCGTGTGCGGCGTAGACGGCGAGCCGCTCGTCGTCGGTGAGCTCGCGCAGCTGCTGGGCGAGTTCGCGCTCCAGCCGCGCTTCCTCTTGGCGCGCGGCGAGCTCGGCGGCGTGCTCGGCGAGGATCTGCGCGCGGATCGTCTGCTCGGTCTCGCGCGTGCGTGCCTCTGCACCGACACCCCCAGAGGGTCCGTGATGGTCGTCGTCGGAAGAGTCGCCCAGCGTGGCGGTCTGCACTTCCTTGGTGTAGAAGACACGTTGTCGTTGCGGCAGCTCGTACAGCTCCGTCTCGACGTCGATCAGCTCGGGTGCCGCGCGAGGCCCCACATCACCGAGCGCGGAAGCGGCGGGTGCGGCTTGGCCAGCCCCGGGTGTGGAGGGGGGGATCTCGGACTCGCTGCCAAAGTCGGACGAGGCTGGGTCGGCGGTGCTGGGCACGCGCGTTCCGAGCAGGCTGCGGCGGGGCGAGGGCGGATAGTCGATGCTCGAGGGCCCTACGAGCGAGGCGCGTGAGCCGCGCGAGGATGTGGGCGCCGAGATGAGCGAGTTGACGAGGTCATCGAGGTCCTTTCGGGCTGAAGTCGACGAAGACGCTTCCGGGAGCGCGGCCGAGGACGACTTGAGACGCTGTGCACGTTCCTCGCGCTGCCGCCGGATCTCCTGAAGCTTGGCCTTCTTCGCCTCGATCTCGGCCTTGCGGCGTGCATCCGACGCGGAGGCGGAGCCGGACGACATTGTGGCGAGCGAGCGATGGGAGCGAGTGTTGGTGACGAGGCAAGGCGTGCGGGCGCGTTGCATTTCGAGACCAACACCTTTCAGAAGGCCGTTTGGGGCTGAGCTCCAACTGCCCTCTTTGAGCAATTGTTGGGAATCAAGATTCGACATTGTTGGGGCGAAAAAATCATCCCGGGAGGTGGAGGCGAATCCGCTTTCTGGCTTCTTCGACGGCTCGCTACCTACGACTTTGCCTCTCCACACCACCAGCATCCTCAGCGCCGACGGGCTGACTGCAGACGGAATCCGGATCCATGGCGAACGCAACGATCCGTGGGGCGGTCAGCATCCACGGCACCAATCCGCAGTTCCTCGTCGAAAAGCCGGTGCGCGCACGCATCTACGAATCGCCCTTCTGGAAAGAGCACTGCTTTGCGCTCTCGGCTGCCACGCTCCTCCCGCTCGCCGTGGACCTGCACCACGTCGGCGGTCTCACCGGCCTGCAACGTCCGTCCCACTTTCTCTGCCTCCTCCAGAAGCTCCTCCAGATCCAGCCCGAACCAGCCATCGTAGACGCCTACCTCGCAGCCAAGGAGTTCAAGTACCTGCGCGTGCTCGCGGCGTTCTATGTGCGGCTCACGTTTGCGTCGAGCGACGTTTATGCGCGGCTCGAACCGATGCTGGAGGACTATAGCAAGTTGAGGTGGAGGGATGCAGGCGGGGCGTATAGCGTGGTGCATATGGACGAGGTGGTGGATATGCTGCTGCGCGAGGAGAGAGTGTGCGACATCATCCTGCCCAGGCTGACGCGCAGGGATGTCTGCGAAGCGAGGGATGGATTGGCGCCCAGGATCAGCAGGTTGGAGACCAAGCTTAGGAGTGCGGTGGAAGGACAGGAGAGCGATGCGAGTGATGATAGCGACGCAGATGTCAGGAGGTGGAAGCTCGAACGCGTAAAGAGAGCTGCCCGGCTTGCACACGCCAGGAAGCAGCATCAGCACCGAGGAGCGGATGCACAAGAGGCCGAGTATACGTCGCAGGAGGAAGACGATGAGGCGGCCAAGAGGAGACGGTTTATCTCGCCCTCGCCGAGCGTCTCGCCGGACCGCATAGCTGCACGCCAAGGCTACGTCTCGCGCTCGCCCTCGCGCTCTCCGGATCGCATGCTCCCACCCGCCCACTCCGAACGGGGCCACATATCGCGCTCACCATCGCGCTCTCCAGACCGCATGGCCTCAACAGCCCGTTCGGAAGAAGGCTACATTTCGCGCTCACCCTCTCGCTCACCGGACCGACTTTGATACGGCTGTAATTCTATACCTCGCGCCTAATCATCATGTTTGTGACCGTCTCCGTCCTCATTGGGGAGGAGTTCGACGTGTTCCTCGTGTACCCTCCTTTTCGTCGGGCTTTTGTGCCACTCGATCAGCGCGTTTCCGATGGTGAGACCCGAGACGGCGCTGAGAAGCAGGAACCAGTCCATGCCCATGGCGACGATCATGAGGATGTACCGCATCAACGTCGCGGCAAAGTACACTGCGGCACCGAGCCAGATGCGTGTCCTGGGCGTCGCAGATAGGGTTGAAGAGATGTGGGTGAGGAATCGTTCGGCGAGGGCGAGGATGAATGTGACGAGTGCAGCGGCTAGAAATGTGGCGAGGCTGCGGATGCGGAAGGTGGGAAAGAGAAACGGCTCGTCGACGGAGGTGAAGGAGGAGAAGAGCGAGGTGTGCAGGTACGGCTTCCAAGAGGCCATACCATCCGCCGAGGCGGAAGACATGTCCATGATAGCAAGGTGGTGGTTACAAGTCAAAACCCCGTTGGTCGGTGAAAGTGGCAAGTGCGAAAGGTGGGGGCAAATGAAGTCCGGCAGGTGGGAAGAGGGCTCGATCACAACCCCCACGGCTGCATGCGTCGTGACTCTCGCACGAAGTTGTGCCACGTAAAGAAGAGATGGTGGTGGTCCGAGCTTTCCTTGCCGCACTTTTCTCAGAAAAAAGGGTCCGATAAAAAAACACGCCGAACACCGCCATACCCTTCAACACGAACAAATTTCAAATGACAGTTGACGACGAAGAGCTAAAGAGATCAAGCTACGATGGCGAGGATGGCAGCAGCTGCGACAATGCTCCATCCCTCTGCATGCACAGCCGAAGCAGCGCTGGTCGAGTTGACCACTCTGGGCGCGGGAATCTTGGCGTCAGCACCGTCAACCACGGGGATCCCGGCAATCATCCCGCCCGAACCGGCGCTCGGCGGAGGCGGGGGTTGCGTTGAGCTTGGTCCAAGCGACCCGCTCGTAGCATTACCCATCGTCGGCACGGCTTGGAGTGATGGGGTTTGCGTGAGAACCGCTTGGCCGATGGATGGAGGGGCGGGGAGCGTACGGTTGGTGGCGGTCGAGGTCGCAACGTGCCCAGGCGCGGGAAGCGGCGCATTGGCAGCCGAGACAGATGACGAAGAAGAGAGAGGAGGTGAGGGGTTCTCGTTCCCAAATGTGCGTGGGCGGGAGAGGCCAGGTGGAAGAATTCCAAGATGGGCAGGAAGGTGGACTTCGGATCCGGGAATGGGGCCTAGAGACTTCCATGCCGGTGGTTCAGTTTGAGACTCTTGGGATCCATGCTGCTGCGGATGCGGGCGGTCGCCAGATCGTTGACCCGAGTGATGACCCGATTGGGCGTCCTTGGAGTGCTCGCTGTGATGCTCGGGCTGTGCGTGATGCTGCTTGCGATGGGAATGACCGAGTGAGTGCAGCTTGTCAAGTTGATGGGGCGAGGGGTTCCAGCCAAATCGATGCAGCCAATGCAGCAGCTTCTTCTTCTCAACCTTCTCCTCGTGGCGGTGCTTCTTCTCAACCACTTGCTGATGGTGTTTCTCTTCTCCCTCGCCCTGGCGGTGATGACCCTCGTGATGACCCTCGCTACCTTGCTGGCGATGCTTGCGGTGATGTTTGTGAGGCTGAACGAGCGAATACAGCTTGTCCAACTGGTGGCGCGAAGGATTCCAGCCCCAGCGATGCATCCAATGCGCCAACTTCTTCTTGCCCTCCTTCTCCTCGTGATGATGCTTCTTCTTTCCGCCCGGATGGTGCTTCTTATCTCCGCCGGGATGGTCTCCGCCGTGGTGCTGCGGGGCAAACTGGTTGTACTCGCTCTGAACAAGCTCCAAACCCCCTGCCGCACCGGCGGGAAACTCGATATGCGGCCGAGCAACATCCTCCCCGACGACAGCAGCCACCAACACCCCCAAAATCAAAACCAGAAACATACGCATCCTGAACCAAAAAAAGTCGTGGTGGTGAAACAACAAACCAGCCCCAACACCCCAGGCGAAAGTACACATCTTCGGTGAGAGCAGACTTCATATGAAACCCCACCAAACCCCCTGAGAACGTCGCCCGCCAAACTTCATCAACTCCCAAGCCCCTCAAGCCCCGCCTCATTTCAACCGCCACCACAGACCATGCAAGCCTCGCGATCTATCCATTTCTTTGTTCTATGCGTCTTCCCCCACCTGCGGCGAAACTACAGACTCATGGTCATGGTCAGCGTCTTGGCATGCACGCCCAACACGGGCGGGCCGCCGCCAAACAGGCTCTCGAGCTGCTCGAGGTAGCGCAGCGACTTGAGCTCGTCGCGGCTCGTGCCTGGTTCGGGCGCCGGCAGCGCCGTCAGCACCACGCCCGTCGCCGGTGAGCTGTTGATGCGGATCAGCTCGTTCAGAATGAGGTACTGCGCCTTGTTCGGCAGCTCGTTGAACGACACCACCGGCAGATCCGTCGAGTACTGGCTCGTGCTGCGCGCCGAAGCCGTGCGCTCGGCCGGCGCCGGACGCAGACGTCGCATGTGCACGGGCGACGGCGACTTGCTTGCTGTGCGCGTCTCCTCAGATCGTGCCCGACCGTGGCGCGACGACACCGAAGAGACCGACGACGTCGATGCCTTGCGTCCCTTGCCTGGTCGTGCGACTCCCAGTCGCGTCTTGGCATCGTACTCGCGTCCAGAAGACGAGCCAGAGCCGTCGCTCAGATCCATCGACGCCGTCGAGCCGGCATACGACGACTGCCGCTGCCCACCGTTGCGCGCTTTCGGGCGAGGCGTCACAGTGTCGCCCGTCGGCATCGCGCCCGTGGACTTGGTGGGCGTCGTCTTGTCCGCCTCGTCCGCGCGCTTGAGCTCCGCCTGCAGCCTCTGTCGCTCGGACGCCTTGAGTGTGGCGGCATTCTCGTCGTCGTCGTCGCCGTTGGCCTGCATGGCCTCGCGCAGAGGCGAGCGCCTCCCTTCGCCGTACGGCACCGACGCACGCGGCGTCATGCTCGAGTCGGTCGACGCGTACGACGAGCCGAGCAGCTGCGCCGACGAGCCTCCGTTGGATGCCGCGCGCACCGTCGCCGGCGTCGCCGTGCGCTGGCTCGAGCTGAGCGCGCCGTAGCTGCTCCCGACCGAGCCGGGCGCGAGCTGTGTCGAGACACTCGAGCCGAGCAGCGGCCGACTTGCCGCGGACACGGGGTCGTCCGGAAGCCCGGCAGAGCCGCCGATCGAATAGGCGCGCTGACGTGTGCTGCGCGTCTTGCTCGAGTAGCTCGCCGGCTCGAGCGTCGACGCGCGGCGGATGGCGAGCCCGCGTCTGCCAGCGCCGTCGACAAGCCAGTCGTCGTCTTCGGACAGCAGCGCCAGCTCGTCATCAAGATCCGAGTCCGAGTCTGACGAGTCACCATCGTCGCCATCGTCGCGGCGCGCGCGTGGATGCGCCAGGCCGAGGCGGATGTTCTGCTTGTGGAACTCGAGGTGCTCGGCAGGCAAACTCACGCCAAACAGCTTGAGCTCGCGCTTGGACTGCTTGCGTGGCGCGTCGCCGCTGGAGGCTGCCGCTTGACCTGGCGTGGCAGGGATGGCTTTGGCCGGCGACAGCGCCTGCGATCGGCGCTTGGCAGCAGCACGTGCGCGGCGCTCGTCGTTGCGTCGAAGCTCCTTGAGCGTCTCCCACCACGGATCGCCGCGCAGAGCCTCGTCCACCTCGACGGCGGCGGTGCTGCTGCCATGCACGATGGTCTGATAGGTGGTCACGCTCTGGTCAGCCAGGCAAAAGACACGGAGCGAGGCGGGGATGCGCAGATTGTCGAGCAGCGCCTGGATGCGCTTGCGCTCCTCGGCCATCTCGTGCGGATGCTCGACGAACACCGAGACGCGCAGCTTGTGCGCCTTCCAGCTGCTGGTGAAACTGAGGATGGTGCCGAGGTGCAACACCATCGTGTACGTGTCCCAGGCATGGCTGTCGTCGGCGTCGGGACTGGCGATCTGGATCGGCCAGAGGTCAATATAGCGCTCTCCCGCTTTGCCGCCCGAACGCGCCGACGGCAGCGAGCTCGAGGCAGCTTCGGCCGACGGAGGCTGCATGAGATCGAAGCCGTAGGCGATGGCGAGCGCCTTGTTCAGGGCGAGCGCATCTTCCATGATGCCGACGTAGGTGGTGGGTAAGATGGGCGTCTCTTTGCGCGCCACGTCGGTTGGCAGGCTACCGATGTCGACGGTGCGAGGGTGGCGTTGGGGCCACGAGAGCCCGCGGATGGTGATCTCGCTGCCGTCGCTGTTCCGCCTGCTGCCCCCGGGTGCGTTGGTTCGCGCAACTTTTGCCGGGTGGCGCATGTCGCTCGGATAGCCCATGACGACGATGTTGGGGCGCATGCCGCCAAGGCCGCACGAGAGGATGAGGTTGCGCGCGCCCTCTCGCTCGTCCTTTGCGATGACGACGTCGACAAACGACTTGATGCCGGTTAGGTCGACGAGCTTGAGCCATGCGACCTGCTGCTTGCGGAGCTCTGCGAGACAGTCGGTGAACTCGCCCTTGAGCACGTGTCCGAGCACGTAGAGCGCGCCCTTTTTGAGCGAGTTGCAAAAGATGATGAGGTTCCACTCTGTGCGCGGATTGTTGGCAAGCAGGAGGATCTGGGGGCGCCAGTACTTGACGTGTCCCTTGCGCTCGTCGAGGCGGAGGAGGTACTTGCGGACAAAGTGGTAGGTGATGTTGCGAGTGACGTCGCCCCAGGGTTTGGGTGGCGAGAAGAAGTGGATCATGACAAAGAGGAGGACGGCAAAGATGACGCAGACGGCGGCGACGGTGGGGTTGGTGAAGAACATGGCGCCAAAGCTGCTGATGGCACCGCCCGCGGCGGTCCAGATGTTCCAGTATTTGAAGGAAGGACGGAAGCTGGGCGCGCCGCCTGCCTTGAGCGCACAGGTCGCGAAGCTGAGCGTGCCGAAAGTGAGGAGGGTGGTCATGGTGACGAGCTGAGCGATGGTGTTGACCGAGTCGACAAAGAGGATGGCCTGGCAAAAGATGTAGGTGACGAGGACGGCGTAGACGGGCGTGTCGCTGACCTCGGTGCCCTGGGCAAAGACGTCGAGGACGGGGAGCAGATTGTCGCGTGCGATGGCCTGGAGCACCTTGCCGCAGGCCATGGTGCCCATGAGGGCGGAGAAGGCGGTGGAGGCGAGGGCGCCAAAGGTGATGATCTGCGGGCTGAGCGCGACGTCCGAGACGATGCCGACGTCGACGTAGAAGGACTCGCGGTCGATGGTGCCTGCAAAGATGATGAAGCTGAAGAAGTAGACGAGGAAGGTGAAAAGGAGCGAGTAGTTTGTGCCCTTGGGGATGCTCTTGCTGGGTTTGCGCAGGTCGCCGGACATGGAGGCGCCTGCGAGGATGCCGGTGACGGCGGGGAAGAGGACGCCAAAGATGGTCTGCCAGTTTTCGGGCTCGGAGCCGGTGGAGGATCCTGCGGCGCCTGCGGTAAAGCGCGGGAAGAGGTTGCCTCTGAGCGTCTGCCACGACCAACCGGTGTAGTAGGCGCCGCGATCGTCGTCGATGAAGGGCTTTACGGTGAAGGAGGAGACGGGAAGGCTGATGATGGCGACGGAGAGGATGAGGGCGAGGGCGAGGGTTGCACGTGCAAAGAGCTTGGAACCGACGAGGCATACGATGGCGCTGAGGAGGAGGACGATGGAGCCGTAGAAGAAGTTGTACCACGGACCCTCGGGGAGGAAGCCGGAATCGCCTCTGCTCTGGCCAAAGGCGTCTGTGAGCGTCTCTACGAAACCGAGGACGTTCATGGCGGCGTTGAATGCCTGGCCTGCAAAGAAGATGAGGCCGATGGAGCCGCCGAATTCGGGGCCGAGGGAGCGGGAGATGAGGTAGTAGGCGCCTCCGCCGCGGACCTGACCGTTTGTGCTGATGGCGTTGAGGCTCATTGCGGTGAGCGTGTCGATGGCATAGCTGAGGAGCAAGAGGAAGAGGGCGCCGAGTAAGCCGGCCTGTCCGATGATGAATCCGAAGCGGAGGAAGAGGATGATGCCGAGGATGTTGAGGCTGACGGGCATGAATACGCCGTCCCAGGTGCCGAGTTTTCGTGGGGCCATCTCTGCGGGGCTGATCATGCCGAGGCTCTTTGTGCGCGGGAGGTGTGCGGAATTGTGGACAGGGTCTTGGAAGCCGCTATTGGAGCGTGCCGGGCGACGGTATCGCTTTCCGTTTCGGGCGGAGTGGCCGTCTTCGCCTGGGCCGACGTTGCGATCGGAGAAGGAGACGCCTTTGGGCATCCTGCGCGGTCGTATGGTGGAGGTGCTGTGGGTGAGAAAGGTGGCAGAGGAGGACGCTGAGGAGAGGCCTGGGCGGCCAGTAGCAGACTGATCGCCAACAGGAGCAGCAGCAGCAACAGCAGCAGCAGCGGAATGGGTGGCAGCATATGGCTGGTCTGCCGATGCAGAAGGGGCAGCGGCTGCAGTGGCGAGCGCATCATGGCTGTGGGCGCCATTGTCGTTGGTGGACGATGAGAAGGGATTGCCGCTGAGGCTGCCGCTGCTCAGATCCACGCGATAAGCGGGCGCCGATGAGCGTTTTGCTGTGGAAAAGTAGTCGGCGGCTTCCGACTGTCCGTCTTGCGCTGCGTCGTTGCTCGCACTGCTGGCATTGCTTGCGACGCTGCGTGGACGCGATGGACCTGGTTCGGGCAGTTCGGGACTGTTGCGTCGTGAATAGAGCGAGGCGACGCGCGGGGTTCGCTGAGTGCGTTGGTCGTCGGCAAGGCCGAGGTCTTCTAGCGGACGCCTCCGACGGCTTGCCAGAGAGGATGACGGTCCATCGTGATGCGCCTCATCGGTGCCGTCCGAGTAGAGCGCGTCGTCGTCTTCGGAAGCGATGCCATCCAGCACGGGCTCTCGCCGGAGCAGCTGGGTCTGCAGCGAGTCAAAGTCCTGCGACGCTCGACCCGAGACGAAGTGCGACATTGTTGCCAGTTCCTTCGGTAAGTTTTGGGGATGTCAGTCTAGTGGTGGTGGTGGTGGTGGTGGTGGTGGTGGTGGTGGTGGTGGGGTGCGGAAGCTATGGGCGGTGCATGTTGTAGCGACGAGGCGGGCGAGGCTGCGCTTCGGACTCGAGTTCGTCGGTGGCGATGGTGGGTCGTCAGCCCAGTCGGAACAGCCGATGCGAGGCAGTGTTGGGACGGTGGGATTGGATCCGATTGTATGCCACCCGGATGTGACTCTGTGATGAAGGGTTGATAGGGATGATGGGCGGGCGCATCACACACGCGTGTTCCAGCAACTGGGCTGCCAAATTCAGGGTCCGAGCGCTGCTGCTGCTGCTGCTGCTCTCTTCCGTCACTTTTGTCGTCTTCGCTTCTGCTTCTTTGCGCTCGGTCGGCTCCTCCGCTGTCCCCTCACAAGATTCCCACAAGGCCAGGCTGAGCATCACATTCCCTCACTCTCTCAGCCTGCAATCAGTCCTGCTTCAGCTCTCAATCACAAGACACCTCCGAGTTGTCGTATCGAGTGAGGCTGAGCACAGCGCCTGTTGGCCAGAAAGAAAAGCGCTGCCGGCGCGTCGGCTTAACCGCTGCTGCGCTGCTGCACCACTGCTGCTGCCCGGCAAATTCGGAACGCGGCCGAAATGAACGAGTGAGCGCTGCTGCTGCTACAGCTTCGAAACGCGTTTGAGAAGGATTGGCTCGGAGGCCGGTGCATCATCGACTTCACCTCTCGCCGACCATCATCATCATCATCACCGCCACACTCACTCGAGCTGGCCCCCCTCGCCATGCCGCCCAAGAAGGTGTCGCTGCCGCCCAACCCGCCGCCGCATGCGTCGCAAAGCATCCCGCTCCAGTACACCACCTTCTTCTCAGTCGCCCCGCTCAACGCCAAGAACGTCGCCTCCTCCTACCTCAAGACAGAAGCGCAGACATGGATTGCCCGTGCACAGTCCGCATCGCAGTCGCAGCCGCATTCCAGAAAGAGGCGGATCGATGCGCTCAGGGATGCCGCAGACGCCCCGGACGCCAGCATGAACCTCGACGACGACGACGACCTCGATGCCAACGACGGTGAAAAGGAGGCGGCCGAAAACACGCCCGCCCACCGCACCATCGTCATCCATCCAGGCTCCGAATCTCTCCGGCTCGGTCGAGCAACTGACCTCTTCCCGATCGTCATCCCCAACGTGATTGCTCGTCGTGCCAAAAAGTCGTCAAGCTCTACCAACCAGACTGCCGGCAGCTCCAATGCCAATGGCACCCCAGCAGACGCTTCCAAAGACGAGGACGCCGACGTAGACATGTCCGACGCTGCCGAGTCACCAAACAAGCTCGATCAAGATGGTGGCGATGCATCCGCGTCCCTGCGCAAGAATCCGCGTAGGTCGGCCGCCAATGCGCCCGCACAACAAGAGCCCTCGTCCGACGCTTCGCAAGACGACGCCGATGCCGAGGCCACACCAAAGCGCTCGCTCGCAGACGGCATCGAAGCCATCCGCAACGATCTGCGCGCCATCATGCGCCAGGAAAAGCTGCGCTCCGTCGGCAACGCCAAGAACCTCGCCGCCAACTACAACGACAGCAGCCAGCCCGAAGACGTGCCCGAACACAACGACCTCTTCGGCCTGCAGTGGACCGACGAGGATGCCGGGGGCGACAACGAGGTGCTGGTCGGCGAGCAGGCGCTGCGACTCGCGTGCTTCTCCCAGCCCAAGACCGCAGAACCCAAGCAGAACCAGCGCCGACAGCAGCAGCAGCAGCAGCAGCAGCAGCCACAAGCCGCATCCGTCAAGCCGCTCTCGCCACCCGATGCAGACCGTCCCTGGACGCTCTTCCGCCCCTTCCAGCGCGGCACGCTCGACCTCAACACGTACGAACAACACTACGGCGCCTCGGCAGCAGCACGCGCACTGCTCGGAGACGTGCGCTGCATCCTCGAAAGCGCCATCACCTCGCCGCCCGAGGACACCGACGAGCGCCAGGAGACGGGCAAGGTGGCGCCCATCGGCCTCGGCATCCCCCGCGCCGAATTTGGCGGCTGCTCGGTCATCCTCATCGTGCCGGACCTGTTTTGCAAGTCGGACATCAAGGCGCTCACCGAGCTGCTGCTGGTGGATATGGGTTTTGCGCAGGCGTGCATCCAGCAGGAGAGCGTGTGTGCGACGTTTGGCGCCGGCCTCTCGACGGGCTGCGTGGTGGACCTGGGCGCGGAGAAGATCTCGGTGTCGTGTGTGGAGGAAGGGCTGGTGCTGCCCGAGACGCGCGTGCAGCTGGCGTACGGCGGTGCGGATCTGACGCGCTTCCTGGGCGAGCTGCTGGCGCGCGCCAAGTTCCCCTACCGCGAGCTGGACGTGCGCGCGAGCATCGCCGACACGCTGCTGCTGGACGAGCTCAAGCGGCGGCTGCTCACGCTCAACCCGGCGGACGTGGGGCTCAACATCCACGACTTTTACCTGCGGCTGCCGTCGAGGTCGACCAAAAAGTACCTCTTCCGCACGTACGACGAGCTGATCCTCGCGCCCATGAGCCTGTTTGACCCGTCGGTGTACGGTCTCGATGCCAAGAGCTCGCTCAAGCGCAGGCAGCGCGCGGGGTATGTGGAGGAAGAGGCAGAGGACGGCGTGGCGGAAGACTCGCCCGAGCTGAGCGTGGTGCGTGGGCTGGACGTGCCCGTGACGGCGGCCATGACGAGCTGCGTGAAGCATCTGCTGCCTGCGGAGCCCACGCCTGCGCCTGCGCCGGCGGTGTCGGCACCCGATATGGGCGCAGTGGCTTCCGAGGCCGGCACTCCCGCGCCATCCGCCGACGACAAGCCCAAACCCAAACCCGCTGCGGTGGCGCTGGCAGATGCTGGAAGCGCCAGCGCGATGGGATCGCGTGCCAGTTCGCCTGGCGCCAAACCGGAGGGTGCGGACGGTAGCATGCTGCCATCCGCCGACGCTTCTGCGCGGCCGTCGCCTGCGCCTCAGAACGGCACCGCCGTCGCTGCTGCGGGCGCTGTTGCCGACGAGCCCGCGCAGCCGACTGGACCGGCTGTGCCGACGATCGACATCCACCGCGAGGCGAGCAAGACGGGGCTGGACACGGCGATCCTGCATGCGCTGCTGACGTGCGTGGCGCCGTCGGGCTCGGACGACCGGCTGCGCAAGATGGCGGCCAACGTGCTGTGCGTGGGCGGTTCGGCGCGCATCCCCGGGCTGGGTGCGGCGCTCGAGGCGCGGCTGGCGGCGATGCTGGCGGCGCACTATGCGGCGGTGGCGGGCGACGCGGCGAGCGCACCCAAGGTGACGGCGATCCCGCCGCCGCGCGAGATGGACCCGCAGGTGCTGGCGTGGAAGGGCATGAGCGTGTTTGCAAGGCTGGAGGCGGCGGCGTCGGAGGCGTATGTGCGCAGAGAGGACTGGACGCTGTTTGGATGGCGAGCGCTCAAGGAGAAGACGCTGTTTTTGTGAGGTCAATGCCAGAGCGGTGCGAGCGAAACTCGAATGCCAGATTTCATACGAGCGATCCAAAAAGGGTGTGTGCGGTCTGCAAGTGGAGGGGCGTGGGATCGAGGGGGTAGCAACCACGAAGGTTGGAATTTGGTGTTGGGTTTTGGGACTCGAGATTTTGGAAAATGGCGGCTTGGTGGATCTCCACCACCTCTGACACGATGATGACGGACACGACTGGAGGCGGCTTTTTGGAGCGGGATGGTGCTTCTGGAGGGTCTGGGCTGGCGTCTGCGCTGTGTGCGGGCACGATGATGGGGCAGCTGCCTGCGAGCGATGCGCTGTCGATTCTTGTGCAGAAGCATCTGCCACCACCCTCTCGACCCGTGCGCGATCTCTCGGGCAGCTGGCACGCCACGCTCGACACTAGCGATGTTGATGCCGACCAGGTGCTTGAGGCTGCGAGTACGAATTCGTGGCGCAAGATCGCGGTGCTTGCACGAAGCACCCTCGAGCGCGCGGGGATGGAGTTGGACGAGGTGGTGGAGTGGTGGACCGTGCGGCTGTATGCGCTTGCCCGACTGCGGCTCTACTCGATGCTGCGTACCGAACTCGCATCAGTCCCGGAGGTACTTGAAGGTCAAGAGATGCCATTCGGGCTACTGGTGCTCAGGGCGACAGAGGCCAAGTTTAGGGGCGATACGAGGAGCGCTGTGGAACAGTATACAGTGCTGATTCGGATGTGTAGGGAAAGGGGAGGGGAGGTGTGGAGGAGTAGGGCGATTAGGGTGGGAATGATGCTGGCGTTTGCGTTGGCAGAGGCGAGGGATTACAATGCCGCCATCGAGCTGCTCGATCCGTTGGTCGAAAGGTTGCTAAGCGACGAGGAGGGGGAAGGGGTGCAACTGGTGATTGTGGCAGCAAGAGTTTGGATCCAAGCTGGAGACCTCGCGCGCGCACTCGAGCTCATCGAGCGAGCCGAGCAGATACTCCCAAGCGAGAGTGCAGTCCATGCGCACATCAAACAGGCCAAGATGGTCATCGCCACCATCAACGGTGACTTTGCGGATGGAGATGGGGAGGCCGAGGGGGTGGTGGGGGCCCTCAACCGGGCAGTGGTGCAGTTCTACCGCGCCCAGCTCGATGCGGCCATCGCCACACTCGATGCACAGCTCGAGGCCCAACCGGCGCTGGTGGCGAGTGCGGACGCGGTGGTGTTCAATACGGCCACGCTGTACGAGCTCGCGGCGGGCGACGAGGCGGCGGTCGTGGGCAGAAAGAGACAGCTCCTTGCGACGATCGCCCGATGGGCTGCCGAGCCTGGACCCTCGAGCTCAGCGTTCAAACTGTAGATCCCTCCCAACCAGCATGACCAACGAAAGTGTGTGTGTGTGTGTGGATAACGCGATGAAGATTTCAGATACAAGTACAGGGTGGCGAAACCAGTGCGGGGTCAATCGAGTTTTTCAACTGTCAACAGCATCCCATGTCAGTCGATAGCCAGTGCTGGGTGTGGGAG